GTAGGGGGTTGATGATGCTCTGAAATGGTCTCATACTTGTTATGGGGGTAGGGGGTTGATGATGCTCTGAAATGGTCTCATACTTGTTATGGGGGGGATGGGGTTGATGATGCTCTGAAATAGTCTTATACTCATTATGGGGGTAGGGGGTTGATTATGCTCTGAAATGGTCTCTCTCTTGTTATTGGGGGGAAGGGGGTCGATGATGCTCTGAAATGGTCTTATACTTGTTATTCATGTGTCTATTTCTCTATCACCAAATAGATTGGAAATTCCTGGAGAACAGACTGGATGTTAAAATATTTTGAATGAAATTAAACACTGGTATTCACATTCAATTAATACAATTCATATCTTAGTTCCAAAATTTATCAAGCATTCTCATTGAGAAGGAAATTCTGCAATAACTTTGGGAAATACTCTTAAAATGTAAAGCTTTATGGAGACTTTACAGACTTTGTATTAACATGGATGGAAGTGGAAGTAAGGCATCATAAGAATAGAGAAGCATAATCCTATGTACTCGATTTTGATAAGAGAACAATTAATGACAAGGGGTGAGCAGAGAGAGGAAGAAGGAGGGCGGAATAGGGAAGGGAATAGCAGAGAGAGGGAAGGAGGGAGAGGGTGGAGTCTTGGTGTGTGCCACTCCTTTTGGGGGCAAGACACAATTGTAAGAGGGACTTTACTTAACAAATGCAATCAGTGAAATCTGGTTTCTTGTACCTTCAATGAATCCCCAACAATAAATTTTTTTAAAAAAGTAAAGCTTTATAATTTGCTGTTTACCATCCCTGGGGCAATCGTTCCAGGGAGTTCTATCACCAGAGTTCTTATACCCACAGGGGTACTTTGTTACACTGTGTTTCTCTTTATTGCACTTTGCAGATATGATGTTTTGCTCAAATGGAAGCTCTGTGGCAACCTTGCATTGAACAGGTCTATTAGAGCCAATTTCTCATCTCGCTTCCTGTCTGTGTGTCACATGTTGGTAATTATCTCAATATTTCATACTTTTTCATTATTATTATATCTGTTATGCTGACTTGTGACCAGTGATCTTTGATACTATTGTGATTGTTTTGTAGTGCCACAGACTTAATCAATAAACGTTGTGTGAATTCTGACGGCTCCACCAACCGGCCACTGCTCAGCCTCTCTCCCTGCCCTTGGGCCCCCCCATTCCTTGAGATATAGCAGTATTGAAATTAGGCCAGTTACACAGAACACGATTTTATCACTTTTGGAAAATGCTTATTCCAAAACAACTTCAGTGGCCCATATGTACCCTGCATAATCTCAAGGTTATTATTCTGACATCAGCTTGCTGCTGTGATTTCAGAGCACACAAATAAAGGTGCTTTTTAATGTGCAGTATGGGGCCACCACTTACATAGTTGCTGATTTCTAGATTTTGATATTTCTTAGATCTAAGAAATTTGTATTTCTTTCTGCTTTTCAGCACACAAAGTTAGTTATTATTTCCAGTGAAGGTTGTTTTCCCATCCCCCCCACCTCCTGTTTTGGCTTCTGCAGTTTCTTTGTTCACATTTGATTTGTAGAAATTTTATATATATATTTAAAATATGTCATTTTATGACTAACTGAAGTATGTCCTGTTTTCTGCTGTAATTCTTTCTCAGTCTGATTGCATCGTCAGCTGCTGTTGTGACTCTCTCGTCAGCTTTAAAACAAACGTTAGTGCTCGTCTTTTCTGAAAAACAATCAAAAGTGTAGATATTTTGAAGTACTGGGGTTTTACTTCATTATAATAGATGTATACAGCAATAAGCAGGCCTTTAAATCTAGTATTTAGTTTCTGTATAAATGTAATTTGTTCAGTGTGTAAATATTATACCATGAGCACATGTAATGTATTAAAGGCTACTTACTATTATTTACATGCAAATGTTCATATCTCATTTCCTTTTTATCATTTTAAATAAATGTTGATGTTCTTTAAAAAGTAAATTAGGCCAATTAATAACCCAACAATGGCTTCTAAGTGTTCAAGTGAAAGGAAGAGTCACCCATCTCTCACTTTAAATCCTACCTAGACATGGTCAGGCTAAATGAAGCGTCACAAGCCCAGAGAAGCTGAAAGCCAGGCCTCTGGTGCCAAGTTCTGAATATAAAGGAAAAGTTCTTCAAGGAAATTAAAATTGTGCCTCCAGTGAACACACGAATGATTGAAAAGCAAAACAGTCTTTTTGTGAATATGGAGAAAGTTTGGTGGTCTGAGTAGGCCACATTCAAGAGAAGGAATGTGGCCTTGAACATTCCTCCTCCTTGAACATTCCTTCAAGAGAAAGCCTACCCCAGAGCACGGCCTAACTCTGTTCCTCTCTATGAAGCCTGAGAGAGGCGAGGAAGCTGCAGAAGAAAAGTTTGAAGCTTCAGAGGTTTGTTCATGAGGTTTAAGGAAAAAAGCCATTTTCATAACATAAAAGTGCAAAGTGAAGCTGCAGGTGTTGCTGAAGAAGATACAGTAACTTATCCAGGAGATGTGGCTAAGATCGCTGATGAAAGCAACCACACTGAACAATCTTTGACTGGAAGAAGACACCGCCCAGGACTTTCATAGCTGGAGAGATGTCCGTGTCTGGTTTTAAAGCTTCAAAGGAGAGGCTGACTCTCTTGTAAGGGGCAAATGCAGTTGGTGACTTCAGTTGAAGCCAGTGCTCATTTACCATTCTGAAAATCCTAAGGCCCTTAAGAATTAGGCTTCATCTGCTCTGCCTGTGTTCTATAAAGGCAACAATAAGGCCTGGATTACAGCCTACCCATTTACAGCACGGCTTGATGAATATTGTAAGCCAACTGTTAAGACCTGCTACTCAGGAAAAAAAAATTATTCATCTAAAAATATTACTGGTCATTGACAATACACCTGGTCACCTGAAAGCAATGATGGAGATAAGGGAGGTCTGTGTTTTAATGCCTGCTAACATACCCTGCAGTGTGCAGCCCACAGATCAATAAGTAATTCTGAGGCCTCTCGGGCCATGGGGAGAGGGGTAATCAGTAACAATCCATGGCTGGGTGAAATTTAGAGTTCCCAGGTGAGGGTATATCAACTGATATCAACTGTATATCAATTATCTCTTTCCTCTAGTACAGTGGTTCTCAACCTTCCTAATGCCGTGATGTATTTTCATTGTTACAAAGGGGTCGCGACCCACAGGTTGAGAACCGCTGCTCTAGCATGTAGATTCCCAAGCTAAAAGATTTTATTTTGCTTGCTGCTGTATCCCTGGTACCACGCACATGTCAGATGCTTAGGATATAACCAAGGAAAGAATGTAGAAAGGAAAGGATTAAGGAGAGAAGAAGGGAGGGAAGAGGGCAGGAGTCCAACGTGCACATACATGTATGGTACTTCTGTACTTTTTCCCGGGGTGTGACGACTGCCCTGCACTCATATCTAAAATATAAGGATGTCTCATTAAACAGTGGCATAAACGGTCTTCTGGAACATGGTATGGTTTGGGAGGCAGTTAGGATAATTCTACTGGTAGAAATGTTAAGGACTAAACTGTAAGTTGAAAGCTGGGGTGGACATCTCTTTTGGCTAACTCGGGTGAAACAAGTATTCACATTAGAAAATACTGTGATTGATGCTAGATCCATCAACATGGGAGCAGACAGGCTAGAAAGGGATGACTTAAGTTCTAGTTTGGGGAACCAGAGGACTGGAACTCAGGGTAGGGGGGCAGTGGAGGGAGGTGTTATTATCAGGACGTGGTTTTGGGGTGTTCCAGGCATTTACAGCACTGCTATCCCCAATATCCAGAAAATCAGGTCAACAAAGAGATTCTGACCCTTCATTCCTATAGGAGCATGTTTCTTACTTGTCAATGCAAGTAAAAAAAAAAAAAAACCAAAAAGGGAACCTCTTTACCAGAACTGATTATAAAGTCACCTACTTCTAGAATGTGAAAATCGCTTCTGATTCGCCATGCCATCTCACCAAGCGGTTTCTCCTCTGATGATGGATTAACATAAAAAACCTGGCTCTGTGTTCCAACATTAAAATGGCATTTTCTAA